GGCATAATAGCTATAACTGATCCCCATGTCAATAAATGCACTCTCATACAGATTCAGTTTAAGCAGGTATTTGGACATCAGTCACATACAAGAACACAAAAACTGCATTTTCTGCATAAGAAGGAAAGAATCCTATGTCTGGAAGCTTCTGATCAGGACATGAGAGTGCCAGCTCTCACAACTAAGGATTAGGACATGATACCTTTGACTCTGGAAGTAATATACAATTGTCAACACCAGAAGTCAATTGTCGACTTCCCACAACCTAAATTAATGGTCCTCATCATATCTGGTGGCAGAAAATGCTCTATTTTATGTGCTGCAAAGAAGTATTTCCTTTTATTGATCCCATAGGCCCCCGTATTTAGCTTAATGGGTTTTAATATTGTGAGACAATCAAATTCACTTCACATACTGTACTTCTGCCATGTCTTCTTTTCTGTGATGTCTTGAAAAGCTGAAAAGTTTTGTTTTTTTTCCTCTAATGGGATGATGTTTTACTTCACAGCTGCACTCTGTGGCACTATTTCTACCAGTATTGGTTTCCTTCAGTAGCAGGGAACATTATAAGTAAAATAACTAGTTTAATAAAGAAATGGAATAATAATTATCAGTCTTAAAAAAAAAATCTCATTCCTTGTGTAGGGGACACTAGAGAAATCTGTGAATGCGCTTTCCATTAATAAAACTAGAGCCTGGGACCAACCAATTTTTATTATTGCATTTAAAATATATCCTAGTGATGCATCTATAAGCAGCAGAGAGGGAGCATTGTGGTTACTGGATAAAATGATTTTGTTGCTTCTTTTTTTTACTTTATTTATGTATATATTGTACTTACACATTGTCCAGTAGCTATCGTTCTCTGGGCGGAGTACAGTTAGCATACAGAATAGTAAATATAACAACATGGCAACAATCTATTCTGTAATATACCCAAATTCTAGGACTGGCCAAATTTTTAACCCTGGTGCCATCACCAAACATTCACCAAGTAAAAAAGAAACTTTTTTTGTCATTCCATCTACAGAATATTAGCAGAATTATCTCCAAATATTATCTGCCTAGTTGTTGCTATTTATGACTGTCACTATTTTTTCCTGTAATGACTGACAACTAGAATGACAACTTTATGGCAATTAAAACCAAAAAAAAAAAAAACCCTTAGGGGAAAAAATGAGCATTATTATTGCAAGCCATCTCTAACAGTGAGTTTTAGAGTAAAGTATTTAGAAATACTTTACAATAAAGTATTTCAGGAGGTGACATTCTGGTTTTAGCTCCTATCTTCTAATTCTTTGTAAGACACCATACTTACAAGATAGTAGATCACCAAGAAAACAAGGAACAATGTGCTTTTCAAATATTGAAGGAACAGAAGAAAATTGTTGGCTGATGGATATCGGATTTTAAGATGATATATTGTAGATTATTAATACCAGTCTTAATGAAAGAATAGAGTTGGTTCAGGCAGAGTCGCTGGGTGGGATCAAAAGTCATTTCCTGGGTGCTGTCTATGCTCCACAGGCAGGGCTGAGTGAAAATTGGTAATGAATACTTAAACCATTTCCAGTTTTCTGATGAATATTTTACATGGTGGAATGAATTTTATTAGTAGCAACAATGCAGAACTAAGAGCAGGCTACATGTTTTTTTCTACAATGCCTGATTGTTAGGTGACAGTATAGAAATATGTGGAATTTATTAAATAAAACTGTGTCTCTTCTAGTAATTAAATGGCTTTATATATATAAAACGCACGTGAAAACAACCCATAGAGCAAACCTAGCCATGGAGGTCTTTTGGTGATAGGGGCAAATCAGGATGACAGGCAATCTATACTAGTGAATGTTCCTCTTAATGTTTTTAAAGAAAGGTAAAGATAGAGAAAAAACAAAAGTTTTCATTACTGTATCTAAAGTATTCAGTGTCTGCTTTTGAAGACTATAGCACCCTTTTTGAGGACTACAGCACCCAGAATTCTCTTGGGCATGATACCTTGGAATTGTAATTCTGGGCTAGGTGTTTAATAAAGAGGGCATTGCAGATTGTCTTGGAATTTTAGAAGCTATTTCCAAGTCTCCAGTTGTACTAGGGTCTTTCACAAAATTCTCTGCCTCTTCCTAAAAGAAAAACTTCTGAGTCGAAGTCAAATAGGATTCTGATGTCCTGACTCAAACTTATTTTATCATTGTTTATGCATGTGCTTTGTTATAAATTCTGCTTTCCCTGTGTTACATCATTGTTTCATTTGTGGCCTAATATTAATGAAGTTCAGGAAGGACTAGGCCACTTTATAAATCTTAGCGTTTTTTTCTTCAGCTCCTGAAAGATTCCACATCCTGGAAAAATTAATAGTCATGAAAATGCAACATGCTGTACTGCTTGATCATGTTCATCATCTTTTTGATTTTAACAAAATGAGGTCTGGGCCATGCTGGCAACCAAACACTAAATTGCTACGCTTTCCTCCAAACAATCTTGAGAATTGTAGTTTGATAAGTGTAAGAAACTGAAATGTCTATAACAGACTACAATCTTGTCCTCATATATCTGTGACTAAGTGCCACTAAAGTTGGTAGAAGTTAAATATGGTAAATATATACGTATAAAATTGCATCATTAAACCTCTTCACGCAATTTTATAAAACAGAATTCCAGACCTAGAAGGACGAATCACAGTGGTGTGATACATTTGTGGCCTTTTCATTCTTCTGATCCCAGGATGCACTTCATTCTTTTGAAAGATTATTCTCCTATAAACTATTCTCTGAAACAGCTCAAAATCAGAACAAATATCAAAACATGAAACTTAATAAACAACTAAAAGTATTTAAAAAGTAGTCATGTTGATACAGTATATACTTGCATTAATATCTGAAGAGAGTTCACACACATTAAAGCCTACATCGCAGATATGAAAATTAACATACCATTATGTCTGCAACCAAATAAACAAAAGAAAAAGGGGGAAATTTATCTTTTTTTTTTTTTTGAGGAATTTCCTAGACCTCATGAAAGCCATAGATTTGACAGTCACTGGTGAACTGTTCAAAATCAGAGAGGGGATTGGTAAGATTCCCAAGGGGTTTTGAAACTTCAGTGGCTATGTAACACTATTCTGCAACTCTTAACAAGCAATATAGCAACATAACCATATAGGCAATAGTAGGGACCCTGAGATACCTCCTTGTAGAGTTGATGTTTTGTATTCATGAACTATCAGAGTTATGCAACACTTTGAAGTAAAAGGGTCCTTTGAAGTAGGCAGGACATGCGCTTAGCAACTGTTTGCATCTCCTTAAACAGTGTTTCTCAACCTTGGAGCTTTAAGCTGTGTGGACTTCAACTCCCACAACTCTCCCACCAGCATGCAGCTGTTTTAAGGAGTTGCAAAGAAGTCCAACATTCCCAAAGCACCTGTGTCTCTTCCAAAACGACATGCTGCATAGCCCTGTAAAGTATAAAATTCTGGGTATCATGTCTCTTTCCTTAAAGATATCAAACCTCTCAGTTATGGATTCTTTGTTTCTTATTTTTCAAATATGTCAAAACTGGGTTTTCCCTCAGTTTCACATTTTAATGAATATATCAGGTTTGATTTGTCAAATGTAGATTGCTTTTTTAAAAGTTTGCACTAACACTAGCATGAATTTTGTGCTCATTTCTCCAAACTTATGTATTTTTATTTGCAAATTTGCCTAAGGTATATAGTTTCCCATTTCCCTTAATATAATGTATTTGTGTACATTATTTATTTAAATATGCATTTTAATGTATATTTCCCTGTTAATTGGTGAACTATAATACAAAATCTGGAGAATGGTATATTGCCAGTGGTAACTTAGTTTCATTTTGATTAGAAGGCCACATCAGATAAGTCTGCATTCATCTACAAACTTAACTAATTTCTCTCCCATCCAACGTTTTATTGCAACTTTCAGAGAGGAAAAAAAAAAATCCAAATTGATCACGAATCATAAAAGTATAGTTGGGTTAAGCTGCTGTACAAAATAGAATATGTGCCATGGGAAATTCATTATCAGAAGCACATTCCTGTGCATATTTAAAAGCAAGGTTGATAAGATTCAGTGGAACTTGCTTCCAATTCCAGATAAGATTTAATAGGTTTCAGCCTGGATTTCCCAACTCTTTTTTTATTTTCCTAAACTGCAGTGGCTGACCAGGTGCCTAGATAAAAGGTGTGAAGACAGTTACTTTGTCTAATGTCATTATCCAAATATAAATTCCCCCTTCAATCTACTGTGACCCAATTCCTGGGCATAACATGCCTCAATGTCGGAAAAATGAGAAGAAAAAGGCAAGATATCAGTCACAAGTCTCCAACCCTCTATCTCTGAATCGTATATAGATAATTTAGTTTAACACCAGAAATAGAGATTTTCAAAATGGCCTCGCACCAACACTGAGTCTCACCACAGAGAAATATTTGTATAGAGCAACACAATTACATTCAAGTGTTTCAGCCAGGAGCCAAGGAATAACATAACTAAATTGCATGTTTATACACTGAGGGTTTATGTTTTTTCAAACTACTTTTAAAATTGAGATTTCCACAAATAAGTTTTAAACTGACACAAGTTCTTAATTTCAGATAAAAGCAAACAATTACCTAATTAGAAATTCCCAGGCTAATTGTGCACCTAAAAAAGTTATTTGCCATTTGGATTTTAGCTGTGGGTAAATGTATCAAAAGTGAGAAAGAAAAGGAGAATTAATAATTAATTCCCTTGCAAATGTGCTAGTAATTTGTGCTTTAAATCTTTGTTAAAAGAAGTCAATATAAGAAGAAAAGAAATCTCTGATATTTTTCTGATTTTTGTGTCTTTAATACTTCTGAGAAAAAAAAGTTTAAATGTAAGTATATCTTTTTGGAGAGAAAAATCATGGCTGACTCTGAAATGGTAATATTTTGTGATTATGAAAGCCTTATTAATATTATTATTATGTATTGCTTGACTTTTTTATCCCCCATCCAGACAAATGAAGATGAAAACATAAGTGATGAGAAGGAGAAAGAAGTAAAAGCTGAGGATGATGTCTATGTGATTATGATGAGTTCAGATTCTCATTCTAGTGGACTTGGTAAGTTTCTAAAATGGAGCATTCCACTATTCATGTATTATTATATTTACAATATTTCTAAGTTTAATTAACCTAAAATGTTTCTGTGTATACATCAATAAAATTTAGATGTATTACTTGCCCACAGATAGAGTCAATTAAAGAGTATATGGTAGCCACTTCTCTACAGCATGGATAGACAATCCAAATGTTTTAAATTTCAGGACAAACACTAAGTCATTCCAAGTGTATGGAAGGCACCATGCCTACCCGTGGTCACTCCGTTTATGCTTTTCTCCTTGCATTTGTGTAATCAGCCCATAAAGCGCAGAGTTTGCAGTAATTCACGCTTTTCTCCCAATGGCAATATTTATGCATGTTAAAGACTGTAAAGTGATAGGTTGGCACGCTAGTCTGTTAAGAATAAACAGGACCAGCTGCATAAGTTATAGCTTGCTCTGCTCATACATATGTGCTGCAGTGCATCCAGAATTGGACACTGTGGGATAGGGAGGAGGTACAGTAGAGTGCTGCTTTTCCATAATCATTTAACATCACATGCTTGAATATGTTATTTAGAGATGTTACAAATTAATGAACGCCTTTTCTATTCATTGATAAATATTTTAGATGTTTCTTCACTGGAGTTATAGATGTGACAGCTTTCCACTATACTATATTCATTCATGAAAGTTTAATCAGCATCGTGGCTGTTTCTCTGTAGAAATCTGCAAAATGTAAAATGCTTCCAGATGGTTATTTTAAATGAAATAATAATATATCTTCCAAACATTAACAGGCAGACCAAGCATAGAAGCACCACCTGGAGCCTGTTTGAAAATCCAGAAGAATAAAGGGGTGAATGCTGATGCAGAACTGAAAGAAGATAATGAGGAAGGAATGGTAGAAAAAGAAGAAAACAAATTAGAAGAAAATACATATCACTTGAGAGATAATTGTTGCAGCTTGTATGATAACATACTTCAGGATGCCCCAGAAGCAAAGAGCTACTCAGAGGGACCGCCTTTGCCACCCCGAAATCAATCTCTTGCCAGAAAACACAATGAACTTTTCTACTTGTATTCAGGTATAGATTAATGGAATAACACAAAACATTTATAGCAGGATCACAACAATGTTCAAGAGTGCTGCTACGTCAGATCAAAAGCATATATATTCCCACATTCCCTGCCACATAGTGTCTGATTCAGGAAACTAATTAGCAGGCCATGAGAGGAAAAACCATATTCCATTGTTGCTTCCTAATGATTACCATCAATTCTGCCTTTTTGTTGTGGACTTTGGATTCAGTATCATTGATCATCCTATCCCCATTACACTTATTGATGTGTCCTATAAGATCCTGAAGGGAATGTTCTTGCATTGACATAGAAAACACCCAGCCATTATATTTATTGGAATTAATTCAGGTCCTCATGGGAATTGCACTGATACACAATGTCTAGTGTTACTGGGAAGTGAACAGTTTTGTTCCCAAAGGCAATCTCTGACATCATCTCTCCGTCCCCCCCAAAAGCAATGTCACCAGATAGTCTGAAGCAGACATCAGCTGCTGACTCCGGCCCAGGGAATGACATTTCAAATAAATTTGCTCTCCTTCCTACCTCTGAGAAAGATTGAAAATTCCAGGAACTTATGTTGATCTGATTTTGTCCCAGGTTAGTCAAATGGATCAAAACAATCTACTTAGAATTTTCAACTATTATATATTGATAATAATGCTTTGAGTGTTCTGTTCATCAGATTAGTTAAACAGGTGCTGCCTTGCTTTTCATTGTAACCTTATTAAGTAGTTGTTGTACTAGTGCTTTATTTGGGTCATTGACCTGCCTTAAATAACATAGAAATAAAATAAGATTAAAAGATAAAATAAGATGTATAATACAAAGCAAAATAGAGAAGAATAAATTGAACATGGCCAGCACAAGTGAAACTGTCTTACTTCAGGTAAGCCACTTTGAACATTGAGATGATTAACATTAAAGCTTCAGTGAAGAGACCATTGTAAATTACAGCTAGAAACAGATAAATGGGAGGTTAACAATTATTGTTATTACAAAACTTTGAGCAAATCTTGCTGGTTTCTTTCTGGCTATTAAACAGTATTTGGTGACATTATAGGAGGCTGCATCACTCTGATTAGGTAAAAGATAATTGATATAAAAAAAAGTCAGTATGGCCTGGGTATTGAATTAATAAAGATGTAAACTTATTAAATATTTAGTTAAGCATATGAAAGAAAGAAGAAAGTCAGGAGTTCCATTCAGGAAACTTTTACAGAGTTCCTGGGTCCCTTATTTTCCCCATATTCTGGGGTGACTAAACATTCACTATAAATATAAAAACAATTTAAACCCAACAATGAATAGAAAATGAGTTTACTTTGCTGAAGAAATTAATATGTGAATGTGCAAATGTCCAAAACAGAAATTAAACTGGAATATAAGGTTATAATTTCCTAGTAAGTTAATATAGGTGTGACCTGTAAATTTTTAAATTTTAAGGTTTATTCAGTATTGGGACTGCTCTGTACTTTTTTTAGTGTCTTTTAGAAGTCCCTTGTTAGTTCCTGTACCAAACACAATGGGGAAAGATCATGGGTGTATCATAAGAAACCCCACAGGAAGGTTGCGTGAATCCCTTATAGTAAAATCTACCAAGGATCCAGTGACACTTTCAAGGTCCCGACAGTGGGGCAATTGGAATAAGGTCAAAGATGATATACCTCCCTCAATATCCCTGCAGAAATAGTTACAATAGGTCCAAAGTTGGTCTGTGCACGTAATGCGTTGCATGCTTCATCTTATCGTCAGCTGCCCAAATATTTTCTTATGCATGTTGGATATTATATTCTGTCTTTACATGTTTTGTAATGGAAGGGCAAGGCAAACATACCAAGTGAATATGGAGTAAAATGCGTTCTATCTCCCATTCTTCATCATGTTTAAGAAGGCAACGTCCTTCTCAAACTACAGTTCCCAAGATTCCTTGGGTATCAACAATTCAACAGATATTAATTTCATTGTGTAGAAATTGTGGTGGTAAAAGGTACCCCCCCCCGCCCCATACAGGGGGAGGAAAGAGGGCAAGGGTAGGAACCGTGAGCCTGCAAACCCGGCAGGGGCATACCACACATGGCAGACTTCCCAAGCTCACCACTCTCCTGAGCTGAAGCCTGGCACCAAAACCATTGTGAGAAAAATGCCCCCCTAAAGTAAAACCAATGCATTTGGAGACAAAAGCAGTGAAGAATACTTTATTGAGATATGCTTACAGTGATCATCGGGCTTCCTCACCACAAAATGCTCAAAGCACTGCAGCAGAAACAGGTCTCTTTTATTTGCTGAAAAATAAAGAAGGTACAAGATAAACAGGAACACTTCTGGATCCTGCATCCAAGCTATCGTTCATATGGCTTTGTTCTGGAAATATCACTAGTCCCAGGGACCTTTTCAAACGCAGGGGGAGGGGTTTGGAGGAAGCAGATAAAGGGCTCTGTCTGAACTATAATTCAATAGAAATTATCAGATTGATTAATGTTTTTCACTCAAAGCAGCTAAACTAATCAGTTAAAATACAATTAACGCTGGGAGCTATTTTAGGGAAAAAAATAAAACAGTAAATGCATTCATACATGAAGAGGAAAAGCAGTGGAGAAAAATATATATACTGAGGCATGATAAAACAAGAAGAGAGTTAGGGGAAAGTGCATACAAATGAATGTTGTGCCTCCAGGCCTCTCAGAGTCTTAAAAGAGCCCTGACTATTTCTATAAATTTGTCTACACTGATGGAAGATGAAATTAAAAGGCTATTGGAAAGAATCTGGCATGGCTTGCTGGAATGCCAGATTTGCACACGGCTACATTGTGCTTGAATAAACCCGTGGTGTCATGCAACAACTTGAAGCAGTTACATCCCAAAGATGAAAGCAAATCCCTCTGAATTCCTTCTGAAGAAATCTGTGTGATTGTGCAGTATTTCCATGAAGTAGCAGGGTACTTTCATCTTCGGGAAAGTAACTGCAATCATCATCTTTCTCCTTTTTAGAGAGCAATTTACAGAAGGCTCTGCAAAATAGCTAAAATATCAACTAGATTCATCCCTTGCTCTTTCAGAGAAAAAAAAAAGGTAAATAGTGGTGTGAGTCCTACTAGAACAGTTCAGAGATCAAAAGGTTATCAGAGTTAGTGGAGTATGAATAAAAAAGGAATTTCAGTCTTTTCTACTGTCTATTGAAACTACACAAAGTCACCCTTAACATACCTGGCTATGAGCCTCAGGGACCTCCAAAGGTGTTGCCAAACTGGAATTGTTGATGTGGCCAAAGGGAATAATCAAACATAACAATATGCCTGCTTCATCGTACTCTTCTGGAACTAATATCACACTGGCAGCACTTCTACTTCTTGATCATCCACTGAGTTTTGATGACCCTCACCTCCTGGGTAGAATTTTTGAAACTTCCACTAAAAATGAAGAGGAATAATGAGATCTCTATACTATTTATTATATGTTGAGAACATAATTTATAATTCCCATTTTGACTCTAATAGAAACTGTAGATATTGTAGCTTTAAGAAAACAACTGCTGATATGAGAAATTTACAAAGCTAGCTGTGACTTGTTCTGCAAGTTGATAGATACACAGATACACAGACAGACAGACAGGCAATTTATGCATAGAGGTAGTTCTCATTTAGCAACCACAGTTGGGTCCGGCAACGTGGTGGTCACTAAACAAAGTGGTTGCTAAGTGAAATAGCAATGGTGCTTATGATCTTACTTTCCTTTGCTTTACAGACCTGTGAAGGTCATAAATGCAAGGATTGTTTATAAAGTTACTTTTTCATCACCATCGAACAATTGCTACATGAGGTAGTCACTAAATAAGGACTACCTGTAATTACAAAGATCCATATTAGCCGACTTATACCAAAGTTTTCTTTCAGAGTTGTGTTTAAATAACATTGGTGCCATTCTGTTTGTTATAGCATGGAAAACAGTGGAAGGCCAAATGGAAAATAAGGAAGCAGATGGAGAGCCAAAGATAGATGATTATTCTGACGAAATATATGTGGAAGATCCATACACTACTGCTTTAGTAGATGATGGTGTGTACGATACAATTATTGATAATGAAGCTAAACAGCGAAGGAAAAACGGTAAATCCTTTATTCTGAATCGGCCACCAGCACCTGCACCACGTCCTTTGTCTGTTGCTGTGAAAGAGGAGAGCACTTCTTACATAGCTCAAGGTAACGCTCGTAGGCATTCAGTCTTCAGAAAACTCCTTGATGAACTTTTCCTGGAAATAAACATCCACCTCTTTATTTCTGTCATTTCAAGCACAGTAATAAATCTTGACTTTCCAAACACTTAAGCCCACATTCGGCAACTTGCTTACAGAAGCACCTCACAGACACAACACAGCCAGATGTTCTTGCAGACAAAACAGAAGCCATATGAGTATGCAGAAAACCTGCCTATTACAGAACACAGAAATCAAGCCCAGCTCCAGTGGTATAAGGAAGGCCTCACACCTAGTAAAGTTTACACCACAAGCAGACTCTGGTGCCCTCTAGATGTTTTGAATTTCATTTCCTATTAATTCGTGCTAAACTGACCAATGGCAAGGGACAACGGGAACTGTAATTCAAAACATCTGGATTACATCAGCTTTCCTATCCCTACTTTAAATGGAATGGGGAAACCCAGGCCTCTACACTGTGAAGCTTACAGTAAGGAATAGTAGAAACAATCTCAGGATTACAAACTGAAGTGACAGTGAGGTTTTTCTAGATCCTATGCTAAAGGAATCCACTGACAAATCAGAATAACAAGTACTGGAACAAATGCAGAGTTATGGACTTTACCGGCAACCCAACCCTTGCACATGTTACAATGGAAAAATCATTAAAACAGAGAGCAAACAAGCAAGTTGAATTATGCTAATTTATATGTACTTTGAGGATAACTATGCTAATTTATCTATGATGATTTCCCATAGGCCTAATATGAGCTTGTGGGAATAAAACTTTGGAAATTCCCAACTCAAAGGTCTAAAATTTTTTGGAGAAAGAAAGTTTGCTTCTCTAACATCTATAGATAATCTGTAATGTAACCATAGTTACAGTCTTTTTATATAGTCTTATTTTTTTTAGATAATTTAATATGGATATTTATATTTTTTGTTGTTGTTGTTGTTGTTG